TAAAGTTAATAGTTTATATGGTAAAAAAAAACTTCACGAGTGCTAGATTCTTTTTGCCTGTAATGGCCTTTGTGTATATGCACGTGCCAAATGTATAGTGATTAGTTATTTGTGTGCATATATTTTTATGTTTCAACAATGAATGCATATCTGCATCTGCTAAAAAAATCAGAGGGTAAATGAGTTAGTATGAAATTGAAGTTTTAGTGGTGGTTTGCTGGTTGCAGATAAGGTGATGCTGAGCCTATCGATAATGCAGCAAGGTTCTACAAATGGTTTAGAGGAAAAAGATAGAGGGAATTGGCTTGGGAATCTTCAGTATGCAGTATTTAGCCTCGAAAACCAACAATATGAACATTTGAACAAGGTCTAACATAGATTTAACTTCTATCTTTTATATCATTTGGTACGCTGACCATTGATCTTTAAATATAATGCCATGATTGTTTGTTAAAGGGTTCTTGTTTATTTACTATGCGGGGAAATAAATTGTGATTGTGTTGGATAACCTTGTCATCGAGCAAGGTAGGATTTTTATTTTATTATTCATCAATTGATTAAAATTTCTTGGTCTTACTTTAGACACATGAGATGAGATGTTTATTTCCATTCTCTTCCAGTTGTGCTCATACTTTTTATATGATCATTTAAGCCCCTGTTTGAACCCCATTATTCAAAAACTCACTTTTTTTCCAAACTCATTTTCTTGTTGCACAAAAGGGATGTTTTCTTTCCATGTCACTGATTGTCAAGAATTGAAAAATGTAATTTTAGTGTATGTTGCATCATTATGCTAAATGTGTCTTAGGATTAATGTCGTAATGATTGTCAACCTACTGTGACCTTCATCATTTACCTAAGCTTGGGACCGGTAATGAAAATTTAGGCCGATGATGAAAAATTATTCATGTGGCCAACTCTAAATTTAGGGACAAGATTGTTGTTGCATCATTGAACCTTTACCAGTTCTGTTTAAATTGTAAATAAATATAATTTTGATTGTTTTCGTTCTTGGAGCATCAACGTCTATTATATTAGAATATATGGTGGTGGCTGTGCAAGGTTTGTTGAAACATGCCAAATGTGACATTTGCGGATATCTGGGTCGTATCAAACTTTTCATTCCAAAGTTATGAAATTTGTATTAGTTAATCAGAATTCAGTATATTCGTCCATGAAAACACAGAGACACCAACTTCCAAAAGATTCTGCAAGTTTCATTACCCGAATTTCTAAGTTCAACTCAGAAAAACTGCTCATGCATGTTAAGAAGGTGTCATCTGTTAATGTTATCTTCATTTCCCTGGTGTGTAATAGATGTCAATAACCTTCCCCCTGGTTTACATTCTTGTTAGGAGCAATCACATATGTGAAGGGTGACAAGCTTGTATTGAGGGGTTTGAAGTTCTATGGGTATCATGGGGTGAAGCTGGAAGAAAGAAAGCTGCGTCAGAATTTTTTGATAGATGTAGACGCCTGGATGGATCTTTGAGCTGCGGGTAATTTTGACTTACTGTCATATACAATCAATTATACAGCTATATACAGGCAAGTTGGAAATCAAATATATAAGTATTTATTAGACTTGGTTGAGACAAGAAAGACAGCCATGAAACTTCAAGGATTCTTCATTGAATTTGGAGAGTTCAAAGAATGTCATTTGTGTAAAGAATATGGCACAATGATGTTGGGGTTTGACTGATAAATTGGGCTGAAACTGGCTTTTATTGTTGGGCTGGACTACTTTAATGAAAAGCGTGTTTCTGGTTATTATTTAGCTGGGTGCATTTTTTACTTACCTTTGGAAGGTGGAGATATTGCCAAGTGTTGCCCCAACAGCCGTTGGATGGTAGTCTTCTGGAGACTTCTCTAATATACTAGGGTTTGAGATCTTTTGGACAATTCAGACTCCCATTCTTACCTTCTCTCGAACTCTTTGTTCTCTCTTGCGCCGTTCTTCAGTTTGCACTTGTAATCGAAATCTCTTGTAAATCTGTGATAGTATAGCTACTGTACAACTCTTGAGTGATTTGTAGTGAGCTCTTGTGTATCCTTATATGGATTCCTTTGTACGATTCGAGAGGGTTCGATGTACTGTAATGTTTCTTGTGTAAATCTCACTGAGTGCCTTGGTGTATTGATGAACGATCTTTGATCCTTGGTTAATAGAGTGATTTTTTCCAGTTGGCGGAAGCTCAAAAGGGGATTAAGATTTATTCTGAGCCTCTTGCCTTATGGCGAAAATCTCTCGTGTTCTTTACTATTTTTTCCTGTTTCTTGCATTTTGATTTGTTGTTGTATGCTTTAGTTGGCTGATTTGTGGTATTTAATCTCTACAGTGGTATCAGAGCTTCAGGCGGAGGTTCTTTGCTCTTGATCTGTGTAGACGTTAACCCATTTCATTTGATTCGTGTGGTGATTTAGTTTCTTGAAACCATAACATAGGAACTTTGGTGAGTTCGTTCTGGTTTTTTACCTAAGTACACTGATTTGTTGCTTATACTATTATCGTAAATCTAAAATATGTTTTTAAAACTGGGTTTGAGACTCTGCTTGGCAATACCTTTGTCCAGA